CCCCAAAAAGCAAGATTATTTTAAAAAAACGTTTCGTCTTTCCTGTAGAACTTCTCAGTTCCTTAAATATACGTTATATAACCAATCAATATCGTTTCATATGATGGTACTTTTGCTGTAATTATTTAGTTTAAAAAACACCTTTGCAAGTCATTGATACCAAAGCAAGGGCCGAACAAAATATTCATTTGAACACTTATTGCCTTGTCAAGATAAATCTTAGAAGATATATTAAATTAAATCTATCTGATCATATGATCATACGAAGCATGCGCAATTATATTCACATCCGCTAAGGCAGCCTTTATTTAAAACCAGTACTAGTTTTGCTTTTTCATGAAGACCATTACACTGACCCACGTCGTTGTTGCCGCAGTAAAATATAGCCTGCGCACTAAATTCACTTCCGCTAAGGCAGCCTTCGTTTAAAGCCAGTACTAATTTTGCTTTTTCGTGAAGATTATTGCATTGACCACACGCAAGATCCTTCCAAAGATATTGTTTTTAAGTGTCCAACTGATTCGTCCCACTACCTTCCAGGGAAACCATTATTCGATCATGATTGTCATTAAGCTTTGCGCAAAGTTCATGAAAGCAATTCCATATTAAAGAGGAAAATCTTAGCAAACAAACAGCTCTGATAAATGTAATAGTTTTTCGCTGTAGGTGGGAAAAGTTTCAATTTTGATTACAAAAGATATGATAGCAATGACTGAAAAATTAATTTTGAAAAATAATTCACTGCGTGTTTCTGGCAGAATATAAAGAGTCGGCATACGACGGGCTCTTCTTATACTGAACAGGCGTACCAGGCAGGCTCGCAGTCCATCTGAATTTCCCAATACTAGGTTCATCCCCAAGCATAAAGTGGGATTTCTGACCAACTTGGAACAAAGTTGGAATACAGCAACCCTGCCCGACAGAAATCTGTACATCCTAAGGTAAATGTTTTTTCTTTCTTTCATTCATTCACTCTGATGACAACTTTAAATGGCGGTCCCGTCTCTCCACACTCCATCATTTCAACCAATATTAGAGGGACGTAAAAAGAACCACTGAGGACTTAAAGAAACCCTGGCAGTGACCTCCCTCATTGCCTACACCTCATTTCTAACCATCTCACATTCACACTCAATGTAAAGCGCCTTTAATTATATCTACATAAAAAGGGCGCTATATAAATAATAAATCTTTATCATTATCATTCTCTCTCTATCTCTTGTTTTGTGTTGTTTGTTTGTTTGTTTGTTTTTTTAATTCAAATTTCTTTCACTTTCGTTTACCAACAATTAGGGTCGATAAGTGTCTTAAAATATCGAATTTCAAAATTTCATTTGAAAGTGTTTCTCTTGTCTTGAAGTTTGAACTTCTTTTCGTGATGCCATTTAATTGTTTTTTGGCTTAAAAATAGCAGAACGTTTGACTCTATTTTGATGAATTCAGAGTTTTTATCCATACTCCACATTTGGTGGTGGGGGGGAGGGG